TTTTTTGTTCGCGACTAAAATATCTGGCGCCTTTTTCCTCACTCGTAAAATTTGCGAAATTCAGTATGCACAAAAAGTACAACGCACGTTTCAGATATTTGCTTTGAAGTCGGTTTGATAACGGAGAGTTGCGGGAGAGCTGTGGGAAATAAGTTGAACGGCAAACTCATAAGCAACGGTGATGTCTCGCTCTTTGCATATTTATACCGAGTCGCGCACTTACGGTATGCTTTGCTGGTAATTTATGCAGGCCTAGTTTTCGCATAACCGAGGTGTCCCTCTGTATTCTGAGTAGAAATTGCATGAAGTTTTGCAACACCAGGACCGAAGTAAACAGCTGTCCAAATTACGAAAATTTGAAAAGTTTCAGTAAAGAGCGAAGAGGGGGAATCGGGGAGGGTAATGTACTCGAAATAAGATGCCTGAATAAGGACGCGCTCTTTTGATAATTATTTTTTGTAATAGCTAATCGAAAAGTGACTGCATAATTATGTAAAATTTACATGGCGCGAAGTGCATTCCGCACACTCATTTCTCTATATAACGCTCTTCAGTTTTGAAGCGCGAAAAGCAATTTATCAAGTTTTATAAAAAAAAACAGGTTTCAGTTGAGTCAGTATTTCAGTTAAGTTCAATTTCTTTCTACTGCAAACAAGTATATTAAACAGTTCTGCATTCTCCTACGATATCATTAATAAAACTTTGGTAAACCAAAATGGTTCCCAACGGGGAATCTCTAACTTTAGTTTTGGTTGTTAAAATGACTGAACGAGTAATCCTGTCGTCTGAGCAAATTAATGTCAAAAAATATTCATGAAAATTGCCGTTTCACGGCGCTAGACGGTGAAATAAAGTCATATTCGGAAACTCGTAGGTAACTCACCGGTAAAAGAAGCACTCTCAGCTAGTCGTTTATAGAAATGTAACAAAGGATTCTTAAAAACTGTGAAAGATAATTTTTTTAAGAAAAGGAAACTGTCTGAAATATCGGACTTCTTCGAGAGAGTTCATTCTTTCGGACGGGCGTCGAAGTTTAAGGCGGGAAGATCAGTGGCATTCAAAACAAAAAAGTAAGAAATTAAATTGCAGGTAACAACTTGATTTGGAAGAAACGTATTGAGTATAAGTAAAATGAAATGTCCAATGGAAAAAAATCTCTGTAAACCTAGGGAAATTGAACTAAACTAAATTACCTTGACTGTTCTGGCTGCTCAAACTAATCTTCACTCCTCGAACTCTATAAGAAAATGATTGAGTTTATTCATAAGCGGTACAGTTTATTAAGTTGAGTCACAATGTACTATTATTGAAGAGTAGTCCCTTGAGAGAGTTGGAAATATCAGTGCGCAAAACTGTAGTGGTTGTTTACCATTTGCAAAAAGTTTCCTGAAAATCCGGTTAGAAAGCCATCTTTGATATACCAGTTTTAGGCCTTCACGGCCGTTTTTCGTTAGATGAAACTGATTTGTACACACGGGGTAAACGCGATTCCTGGACGAAATTTTGAAATTTTGTTTTAAAATTTTGCTTAGCATTTACCTAAACCGTGAACCTACCGGTTTGCACGTGCAGTGATAAACAGTTATAGGACATTCCTGAGCACCGAGGCCTACCTAAACTTATGACTGAGGGCTCACCGCGAGGTAACCTGCGTAGCTGGCGGTATTGTGTAGTAGTCGAGATTTGAGGGTGGAGCCGTCAAGAGCGGCGAAGCCGCGAGAAATACCTCAACCGCCTCGTCCCTAGTCCCTTTTTTTGGAACACGGCTCCGCCGCCCAAAACTTTAATCTCGCACCCACACAATACCGCCAGCTACGCAGGCTAACCACGAGGTCATTAATCACCTCGCGGTGAGCCCTCATGTTTTGGGCCGGAAATGTAGTTGTTTTGGAAGGAAAGAAATTAGGATAAACCAGTATTAGTCCGCTAATGCGCTCAGAGGCATGTTGTTTCGGTGGTGGACTATGTGGTAGTTTGTCTTCTAATTAAACGAGAAAGCAGAACCGTTTAATTAGAAGACAAACTACCACATAGTCCACCACCGAAACAACATGCCTCAAGTTAGTTGCATCCATAAGAACCGTTTCATTGGTCGTCTGTCAGTTAAGCCGTGATGCTATTGGCTATGAAGACTCGTACTGTAATTGGCGCGTTTTGATCCGTCTATTGTCCCAGTCAAACAGTCGATTATTGTTGGTCAAATTGCCAGTTGTCCAGTTGTTCTTCCGTAGTTAGTTTTGCTTGATTTCGTCAATAAGTCGTTTGTACAGTGCCGGTAACTGTTGACTACCATTCAGTGGCGTTTGTTCTAAGACTAGATATGTTCGCTATAACATAACGAGGTTCTTTAAATCGAGGTTCTTTTCCATATATTTTAGTATTACTAGGGCAATGAACATAGATGGTCACCGAGGACTTCGCTATTTGGAGGTTCGTTATATCGAGGTTCTAATACATTCGTAATAATGACCTCCTGTTTAGACTGTAAAACAGTCCGTATTCATTCAAGTAAACGCGAACAGTCAAACAAAAGGTCTGGTACGAGGCTGAAAACGGAGAGTGAGACTGGGGAGATGCGCTAAAAATATGTTTTTCTCTCGCCTCGCGCGCGTAAGACTCTTACGCAACGCTTTACCGATTTCTTTAGTGATTTTGGGGAAAAACCCGACTGTTTTGCAGTCTACCTCCTGTTCCACTGCGTTGACAAGCTCCTCCATTTGTAGCCTGTTCAAAACAATGGAAAGGCGCATTTATCAAGTCACCCATGAACAAGATGTTGTATAAATAATTTAGATGTGAAAGTATCATCGTTCTGCTAGTGATAAGCTAGCCGTTGATTCACTCGTTTGCTTTAGGGAAACTTGCATGTTTGTGGACTGGGTGTTATTCCCCCAAAGAGATTTGTGCCTGGCAAATAAACCGGTGTCTGGCAAACTCTTCGAGTGTTTATAAATTATACAGCTGTTGCGAGAAAGGTTGTCGGAAAAAGAGCACGTGACAATCCCAAAGGTATTGTGGGTGGTTTTGCCTGCCCTGTTCTACAAAGAAATTTGAAAGAATGACACGAGAGGCCAAGGACATATGTTCGCGAGTGCTAATGGAAAGCAACAAAAGTAGGTTCGACAGCTACAGTCGTTAGGAACAGTGTATTGATCATATCCCATATTACCTTTCGGGGTTGTCGCGTGCACATTTTCCCATCAACCTTTCTCGAAATAGCTGTATACACAAAAAAACGCTCCTTATAAATTTATACGCACTTAACGAGTGCTTTTGGTCCATAACTTTCAAAACAGCTGCTCCACAGAATGTCACTGAACACACGTAACGGAAAAGAGTTTCGATGTATGACTGTACAATTAGTGTCACAAATCAACCTAAGCGGTGCCTTCGGGAATTTTCTGTTTTACGTCATCCTTAGCATCTCTTACTTGCGGGCGTGATCAATAGAAACGTAATCATTACCCAACGATTCCCTGCGGCTCCTGATCAAGCACATCGATATTCTAAGCTGTCTAAGGTCACTGACTGCATATTTCAACTGTAAGTACTTTTCTATATTAACGCGCGAGCTGCTAGGATGCCCCTGCGCCCTGCAGGGGG